AATTCCTGTGAGTAGACCTGAATTCAAAGTCAAATAGAAGCTGTTAAACACGTTCATCAGACAAGGTGGTAGTTCTTGGGCAGGTCAACATCATTCTGGAACTCCAAGAAGTGCAATAGTAAGACCATCCAGATTTCTAACAAAGTAGATCTTCAAAACAGAAAAATGGATTAATTGATAAAATCAATTAATCGCCCCCTCGGAGATGTTGAAGCCTTTAAACCTCTCCAGAACTTTCTCCCTGACCAGTCTGCTGGGTTTCTCAGGACTCATGATGCTGTTAGGTCACTAATGTTCTCTAAACAGAACAAACACATTTTTACTGAGATTCAATTACATCTACTATCCCTCCTGCACTTCACACTCATAGTACTGTTTGTGTTGATCTTGACATAAAATAAAAATGTTTTATGAATGTAACATGATAAAATGTAAAAAAGATCGCGGAGTGTGAAAACTTGTAAGCTAGGACTGTCAAATGACATTTGCTTGTTAAAGGGGCAGTACTATGTGTTTTCCAGGCATTTGGTGCCATTTTAAAGCACAATCAAGTAACTATGTTGCTTTCAGTTGTTATAAAAATGCTATACACATAAAGTATGATTTAAAAGAAATTTTGCTTCCTAAATTAACAACTTGAAATTGGGTCTCTGTCTCTTTAAAAATTCCTGCTCTTTCTGAAACTCTGCCTTCAGGAAGTCATCACAACATGGCTCCTTTATTAAACCTTTAAAAATGTTTTACCAGCATTGTGCTGAGAAGTAGATTATATAATAAGCTCAGCAGCTGTGCAGTTCCACCAGGTGTTTGCTAATTGTTGCTGGCTAGTCTGAAGGAGCTGAGTGGGGGTATCATGGGGGAGGGCTGCTCTGTGAGGTGGAAGCTTGGAAGCTGCAGCTCAGAGGAGGACCTTCGCCTTGAAGGCGGTGCTAGGCCCACCCAGCAGTTTTGCACATCTGAATGGTTGCCATGGAGATTAAAGGATTTCTCAAACATGCATGAAACAATCAAAACAACACTCCAGGTGTGTTTTTGATGAGGGAGTAACATTATAACATGATGTTAAGCTAAAAAAATTTGATTTTACATGATGCTGCAGCTTTTAAAATTGTTTACATTTTGGAAATTTTAGAACCAAAATCTGGTCTGAAGAAGAAACCTTTGAAGTGTTCTTGCTGCTCTCGCAGATACATTTGGTTCTGCATAGGGCAGAACTGACATGAACCCTACACTTTTCTGTCCTGGAGCTTTAGCGAGAAAAATATGTGCTTAATGTCTGGTTTCAAACATTGCAGATAATGAAACCCTGAATGTAAAAACATCTTTTGACTAAAGTCTGAAAGCGTTCAACCACTGTCTAAACCTGCTGATCTCTGCAAGGATACTGATGCCTACCTGCAGCGGTCAATGGAGGTGTACAGTCTGGCCTGACACACTCACTCATGCCTAGGGCTAATTTATACAGAGCAGTTAACCTAGCAGGCGTGTTTTTGGACTGTGGAAGGAAACTAGAGTACCTGGAGAGAACCCACACATCCACAGGGAGAACATGCCAACTCTGAGCTGAAAGACTCCAGGATGGATTTGAACCTCAGTACAGACGTACTCTGAGCATGTCAAATAAAACATTTAAGTCACTGATAAGTCTGTCGCAAGAAGCAGTTAATCAATTCATAAATAAATTATTTGATAAATTTAAAAAAGTATGATAATTTCCATTCGGATTATTAATATTTTTGAAGAGCAAATTAGTTTACAAAAACTTAAGATTCCATTTTATTTATAGATTCAGTTGTGTGCAGATTTTTATATCCTTTCTGTTATTGGTATTGGTTGTTGTATTTTATTTAGGATATTTAAAATATCTTACAGTTCCAGTGTTAAGTGCTCTTTAATAAAATTAAAGTTTATTGGTCGTTAAGCAGGCAATTTTGCATTCTTATGCCATTATAGATATGGTATTTGAAAATGATCCCAAAACAACATATGATCGTTTATCGCAATAATTTCTAGGACAATTTATCATCCAGAAAAATGAGTTATCGTGATAGGCCTAGTCTCAGGGCTGCAGAGTGTTTTTAAAAGTGTGAAGAGTATATTTGTAATATTTGAAAATATGTAATCATACTTTCAAATGCCCTTAATCATGAAAGTATGATTAAAGGGACAGAAATACCGGGAAGAGGCCCTTCAACGTTCTCAATGCGCCTTTCAGACATAACATGACCCTGAATGTGAGGTATGATGAGGTACTCCCTCTAATAACCAACTCTTGAGTCACTTTGTGAGACAGATACCGAACCACAGGCTCAGCTTATATCCTCTCACTCCATGCAAGTGATAGTCAAACTATGTATTGTATCTGAATGTGATCTCTCTCAGCACTGGAAATCAGAATCCTGCTGAGTCTCAGATTCAGGAGAAACAAGATGGTTTCCATCACGGTCACTGGATGTTGAATCAGCTCTTTTGCCAGGCAACAACATTCAGGGGTGCATAGAAGATGGACTATTAAGTCCTCACTTGGGTGAGGTTTGTGACCATATGCCTAAAACTTCTCCTGTGCGGGGGTACTGCAGGAGTATGGGCTGTCAGAATCCTTAAAGAAGGGCCATTCAGTCCCTACAACTGGTGATGAGACAGCTTAGCCCTTAGGGAGAAACAGAGTCGCCACGTCTCTCTGTCAAAGGGAGACAGTTAAGCTGGTTAGGGCTTCTGTTTAGGATGGTTTCTGGATGCCTTCTTAGGGAGGTATTGCAGTGGAACAGATTAAGTCACATAGGCGGTGGAAAGCCTTGGACTTCCCAACATGAGTTGGAGGAGGAAGCTAGGAAGAGAGAGTTATGGACAGCTATGCTGAAGCGGTTAAAAGACCCTTCGGGGTCCCTGCTAAAGGAGGCCATTTGTAAAGTTACACAGTCAAAATTAACAGCAATAATTTGGGTTTTTTAATCTGTCAGCAGTAGGCCTGTCGCGATAAACGATATATCAATTAATCGCACGATAAATTAAACCTATCGACCTCATTTTAATTATCGGCTTTATCATCTCTTCCTGCCTTTTTTTCTTTCTGTTGATGACACTGAATGAAAAAGGCTCAGATCCGGTGCTCTCTACTGACCTTCCCTTCCTCATTTCCTTGGTGTAATGAACGTTCTAACATTGTCATAAGGGCAAAATGGGGGCAAAAAATCGCGTAGAATGAACTATTGCATTAGGGAGTCGGATGTGCCCATCTTCTCTATTTAAATCTAGTGATTACTGAAGGGCAACATAGTATACAGACTTTATAATCTGCACTCTTTTGGTTGAATCCAGTATTTATTTCCACTTTGGTTTTATGTTGTTTAGTTTTTATTTAAGTATGTTTTTTGTTAATGGAGACAGAGAATCACTTTTATTTTTGGTTGTTTTGTTTATTTAGTTTATTAGTTCCAGTGTTATGTGTTCTTTTGAAAATAAAGTGCATCTATCTATGGCAGGAAATCGCAGGCATTATTAGTCAATATTATCGTTTATCGCAATAATTTTTTTAGACAATTAATTGCTCAGCAAAATTTATTATCGTGACAGGCCTTGTCAGCAGAGAAAAACAATGAGGGTTAATTTCTCAAAGACATATTTTCACCATTCATTTATAAATTTACACAGTTTCAAGCTAAATATTTAGTTGTATATACTTGCTTATTTAATACTCCACTTACTAAGTAAATGTTTACTTTGAAATTGAGACCTTTATAAATGAATGAATAACATGGTGACAATATGGCATTGAAAAATGATCCACCATTCTCATTTTCTCTTATGATCTAATGATTTATGGATTTTTGAATACAAATATGGCTTTAAACACTCCTATACAAGACAACATAAATTAATTATCAAATAAATATATAAGTATATGTACAATATATTTACTTGCCATGAACATTTCATATTCTGAGACATTATTTGTAAAAGTGGCGTATATACTACTTTCAGTCATTTGTCAGATGAAACTCTTATAAAGTATCTGTGAAATCTGTGAATACTCAAGACGTGCATAGCTGCCTATTTTAGTTGTTTAAAGTATATTTTGTGCTCAGACACAAAATATACTTTAATATGTGCTGATGTTAACTATCTTAGCACTACAGCAGAAGCTAACATGTACAGTTTTCCTGATTTCTACTCTTGGGCTTACAGCGAAGGAAAATAAATACCATTTCTGGGTTGGCTGCTTTTCAAACACCAGTCAATTCTGTGAGATTAAAGGAGAAACTATGATGGCTTATCTCTATCACTGACATGAATTTGTGATTTTTAAACCACTTTTTGTTTAGTTTATCTTCTATTTGGTAAGTTAAACCAAGCTCAGCTGGATGGTGTCATAACATAGATAATCTAAAACAAAACAAAAAAATATTGATGCATGTTTTTAAGGACAATGTGATGCTGGTATCACTCTCACAATACAAATTTAAATAAATGGAGTCAAACATCTCTCGCAGCAGCTTTTCACATCAACATTTGTGAGTATGTTACATGACATTTAAATAAAAAACATTATTTATGGACTGTAGAGCAGCAAGTGTCAGCAAATATTGAACAATTCAGACAATGGTTGGACTAAATGTATCATAAGAACCTGAACAAGCCTCCAGCCTGAACCAAAAGTAACTATTTTGCTTGAAAACTAAGCACTTAACTATCACTGGGTGGAAAAAAAAAGAAGAAAAGTTTGGTTTGAAATTGGTAAACTAATCCAGTGGTTTAATCTCAGGAAGTCAAAAGTAATATCCACACCCCTATCTTTTCACATTTTGCCATGTTATCATCTCAAACTATAACACTTTAAAACAAATTTGGAATGTATGACATACATTTGTCAACATGCAAAACAGAAAACAATTACAACACTTCAGCTTCACCTCACCTATGTGGTAAAACATGGAGGTGGTAGGTTCATGCTGTGGGGATGTTTTCCTTCAGCAGGAATAGAGCGGAGATAGAATTCAGTGGATTTTAGATCAAAGCATGTTAGAATGACCTAGCCAAAGTCCAGAGTTATATGTTTTAAATATTAAATCTTAAATGATTTGATGTCTACAGACACTTCTCATCCATTCTGAACCAGCGTTATAGAGACATTCCCCAAAAACAACCACCAAAAGACTGACAAGAGGAAAAGTCTAAGGGGTCTTTAAGGTGATTTCTATCACTTACTTTTCTGAGGAATAAAACATAAAATCTCTTTCCGACTTCAATGAGTCTCTGGCAGGAAAATGTCCAAAGTATTCCCAAAAGTCCAAGGCGGGAAACTCGACCCTTCCGCGGTTGTGTATAAAAAGTATTCCGTTCAGCTCGAGCTCTTACCTACGAGCTCATTGTTCAATAAGAAGCAGCAGCTGACACACCGGGTTGGCAGGAAAACTTCTCCCGCTTCTCCACACACACTTTTATCCAGTGTTTCGAATAAAAAAGGCGCAGGAAACAGAGGAAAGGTAAAACAACTACTTTTCTTGCTACCTGACCTGTTCAACGTCCACTCCCGCATCACATTTATCGGACTCTGTCCTCACACAGCCGCTTACCTCCCGCTCAGTCCCGCATGATTCGTCACGCCACGTCCTGCTTGCAGCGTGTCTCCGTCCAGCGGTTCACTTCAGTCCATCCAGCGAGTCGTCTCCTCCCGGAGCAGAGCACGCGCTTCCCGGGCTGTCAGTGAGTAAGTAAGCACCTGAACGCACGTCAGGCAGCATCGTCACGCGCCCACACACAGAGGAACGCGCAGAGTAAGACAAATAAAGGAAAATGAATTTAGAAAACGGTAGAACACCACTGTACCGCTGTTTAGTAAAAACAAAAACGAATAAAGTAAATGAATCCTTACTGAAGATGTTTATTTTATTTAAGTTACATTTTCAACAGGTATTCAAACTATGAGAGTACAAAGAGTTTAAAGACAGCGCAGGACAGGTACTACACTGACCCCAGGTGGACACAGTTGAAAGTGCAACTTTTCTAAAATCTGTTTTTTAATATACTTAATTAATTATATACTTAATAATGTATCCGGTATTTCGGTTTAAAACCTTTGCATAAAGTATAAATTGGAGTTTTTGTTACCTCGTTAGGAACCATTAATGAAAAAAAGCGTCTATTTAAATTTTGTTTAAATGTATTACATTGGAAAACAAGCCCCTTTTCGTTTCATGCATTAACAGAAAAAAATTAAAATAAAAAAAAATAAATAATTTGGCTTGATTTCTTTACCCCTGTAATATTTAAGTATCAAAAACAAAGCACTTCTGACTTGATGTTTTTGGCCCATTAGACGAAATGTTTGGACACCCTGACGTAAGATGTCACACGAGCTTCTTGTTGCACAGTTTGACCAGCAGAGAGCGCCCAAAAGCTTCTCATAGCTACGCTCTCAAACATAGCTAAGTTGTTTGTTAAATTGCTCTATTTCAAAAATAAAAATCTAGAATCTGGCAGATCATGATAAAACTACTGTTCAAAACTTTAGAACAGTAATAACCAGACTGAGTTCAAATGGTAAAATAAAACAGGTGTTCTGGAAGATCAGCAGCTCCACAATTTAATCTTTTTCTTTTATTTGTCAACCTGCCTCCTCCTTCTCTGAATTTCTTTTTCAGACTATGTGTTACTTTAAACTTACAGCATCTGTCATCATATTCAGAGAAAGCTGAAAATACCAAACTGGCAATTACATCAGAAAATGAGAAAACAACCCAATAAGTCTAATTGATTATTTTCAGTTTGGACAAATTTCTCTTGCAATTCTGTCATTCTTCTTTAACTTTTTTCTAAATTTCATTGTGTTTAATTTGTAATATATATTTTTATTTATATAAAGTTGATCTTAGTTTTAGTAGGATTTTGAAAGTCTCAGTTTACCATTTTTACTATTATTTTATTTCATATTAATTGTTACTGGCTGAAATTTTGTGAAATGATACATAACCCATGTTATTTTGTAAAAGAAAAACCTTTTTTTTGTTTTTTTACTAACAAGTAAAATAAAGTTAGACAGCGAGTGGAGGATAAATCTTTCCAATTAGACTGTACCATCGGCTAAGCAGGTGAGAAAAGTAAACCTGAAACAACTGCATGAGCGACGGCCCCTGATTCTGTTGACCCTCCACTTCTGACATCTGTACCTAGAATAGGTGTTTTTTTTCCCAAAATAAAATTTATGTAATTTATATTTTTAATTTTAACATCCTTTTATTTATTCTCCACAGGTCCCTGTTTGTTATAGGTTGAGTCTGTGTTGATTTTATTATAATAGAGCGTAGATTAAATAAAATTAAAACAGTACCATGACAAACAGGTGTTTCAAATGTTCGGAAGATTCCTGCCTTTGTTAAGGACAGGTAGAAGCTGAGGACATTTTTGGATGTAAAAACAGATTTCAGAAATATAGTATAACGATAAACCTCTGTGAATCTTCCTCTTGTGGAAAAGGAAGTTCAGGTTTTTTCTTAGTTTATTTGCCCAAACTTGAACCTCTCAGTCAGTCCTCTGCTCATTGTTCCTCTGACATTTTCCTCTCCTGTTTTTCCTCTCACATCCATCAAACCGTCTGCTCACTCACCAGTGCTTTCTGTTTCTGTCTTCACCTGGAAGGATTCCCAGCAGCTCCAGCTGTGGGTTTGCTCACTCAGTCCCTTGTATCAAACAAGATGAGCCGAAACAAAAAATGAAAATAAAAAGGTGAATAAAAGCTAAGCCAGACCAGCTGGCTTTGGAGAGCGGGGCAGCCCGAGCTGGGCAGCGTTTGGGTCTGACTTTTCTGCAAAGTGAGCAGCTGAGGTAGTCCACAATCCAACACCCCCACCCCCACACCCTCTGACACATACACACTCAGACACACACACACATTCACACACCCTGTGACCTCCTGCGTCCCAGCTCAGTGCATGTCTGTGGAAGAGCGCTCACCTGTTGCTGCCACTTGCAGTATATTTAGCTGTGAGGTGTCACTGATGCAGTGTGTGCGTGTGTGTGTGTGTGTGCGTGTGTGTGTGTGTGTGTGTGTGTGTGTGTGTGTAGAGGAGAGAAAAATGTGTTGCTGACACTCAGGGGCCCTCTGTGGTCTTGGTGCGAGAGCCCAGGATTACTGCTTCTACACTGTAAATCATGACATTGTGTTTAATTGAAAACAGAGTGAATCTAAGGTTTTGCTAAGACTCAATTAAACTACGTAAGTCCAGCGGTTTTAACTTTTTTTATACTAAGTACTTCATTTAAGTATTGAGGTAAAAAAGTTTTAAAATGAACTTATTTCATTTGAAGTCATGTGAAAGGGTGACATGGGGATTTGCCAGTAAGGTATCCCATAGTGCATTCATTTTGCCACCAACCAACAGCAACTAATTTAACAAATTTTTTATTTGTTACAAAACTTGGTTTTAAGATGTCTAAGGTGAAAATGTCGACTCCAAAGCTACATATGCAGTCAGTTCAATCTGGAAAGACTCAGACGGAGAACAAGGAACAATTAAAAGATTTAATGACAGCAATGAATAACAGTTCTTTGGCGCTCGGGCCCCGGCAGCTGATTTGAGCTGAGATTTGATGTGAACTCGATGAACATCCCGATAACTGATTAGGGATGCTCTCCCCCGGGGCCCGACACTGGTGGAGGAGGTCAGGAAGGGTTCCATCCTGGAGAACCGAAGGATGAGGGTGGAGATGGGGAGGTGGTGGGTTGAACGCAGCTGGGAAGCGTCTGACGGTTTGGGTGTGGATCCTTTTATGCAGAGCCTGATTGCTGATTGAGCGTGCAGGGTGAGGTCCAGTCTGAGGACGGGGATGAGTGAACGGAGGGGGCGGAGTCTTCCAGCTTGAACTTCTGCTAAAGCTCCATTTCATCCAGAGTGAGCAGTGCAGTTTGGCTACGTTTGAATACATCAAACTGCACCGTGAGAGAGATATGTTCGTTTTCATCACCACCTGGTTCTACGTGAGGGTGCAGCTTTGTATAATGATTGTGTTTGTTTTACTGAAAGAAAAAGTGAGCAAACTATCACTGCTTCTTGTGTTTACTGTTAATGTTTGAGTAGAGAAACAAATAAGAAGCAGGAGCCAGGAACTGTTTCAATCAAGTTATAAAAATAATGGACCTCAGAAAGCTTTACATGTACAAAAACAACAACAACAAAAAAAAAAACGTAATTGTTTAAACAATTAAAAAAATCCTCAGATTAACTAAGTTAATTTAAGTTGAGGTGACTAAAATTGCACAGGCTTATCTGCTAATTTAATGAAAACAAACAAAAAATGGAGGCAACAAGTTTGCATATATTTTTTAAGTAAGGAGAACTACTGAGGTTTTACAGTGGACACGTTACCCACAGGCCGAGCCTGCCAGCATGTCGGAGGTATCGGCTCTCTGAGCATCTGCTAGCTGGAGGATTACGCTCAGCTGTCCCGTCCCGTCAGACCCGGCAGACGGAAAGAAAGAGGCAGGCGGAGGGATCGGCTGACTCTGACGGTCTGATTCCAGAATACACTTAGAGACTCATTTGTAAAGATGATAGAAAAAAAACTTCAAATAAGCAAATTTTCCACACCAAAAATAAAAAAAAGTAGAGAAATCCAGTCTTCAGTTTGAGTTTCTTATTTCAGAGTGGGTGGAAAATTAATCGCCCTTTGCCAGAATTTTTGGTTTCCCCGTACGGCCCATTTAAAACCCCTTAGCTGTCCTGAGGACATTGGTGTCCACTGACTAAAATATTGTCCATTTAAGTTATTAAAGATGCAACACAATCCATCTGAGTACATTATAAAATGCCATTTAGTTATTTGTTGCCTGTCTAAGGAAACATCAGATCTGAACCACAAGGTCAAAGAGAACAGCAGTCCGGCTGCTTTTCCTGGACGTTTCTTCAGGTTGTTGTTGACTGTCGCCCCATGCTTGCTTATTCTGCATCTTTTTCCATTAAAAGAATTATGTGCCATGGCATTTCAGTTGCACTGTTTTGGACTTTTCAATATTGAATTAGTAAACAGAGTTCTCAGGGTTTTTGTTTGTTTTAATGAAACAGTCCCACAGCATCACAGATCCTCCACTGTGCTTCTTGATGTCAGGCATTTTTTTCCACCTGTTCAGCTACATTCTTTGGAGAGTTTGTTATTGAAAAGCTCAATATTTTCCCATCTCAGAGTAAAAGTCATTTTTTTATATATTTCTTATTGTAGTAAAGAACAGTTTTTTTTCTGGCATCACTCCCAAACAACCTGCTGACATCTAGACGGCGTCGAGTGGTTGCTATCAAGTCACAGTTCCTCTTGTTCAACAGAACGGCCCGGTTCAGATTAAGTCTGTCAGATTTCAGTCTAGACTTTGACGTTTTCAGAAAATCCTGAATCTCCTCCAGAATTTTCAGCAAGAGAGCAGAATTCACATTGGTTACACACTGAAAAAGCACAAAATCCTCCTGAGTAATTTTCATCTAGTTTCTAGTTGTAAATATTTTAGCACACTTGAAATAGACAAAACTAACTTGCAAATAGCTGATATTCATTCAATAACTTATTAATATTGATTAAACATTACTTGTTCCATTGGCAAATTATTTCACTTAGAACATGAGAAAAATGTCTTGTGACAAGTGAACTTAACCACAAATGCAGCTAGTAATTTTAATCAACATTAAGAAATGATTGACTTAAAACAAGCTCCTTTTATCCCACTGGAGTTATGAGTGATTTAGTTTCATCTCATTTCAAGTGGTCTAAGATATTTGCACTAGAAACTAGACCAAAAATACATAGTAAGATACATTTGAAGAGGATGATCAAGATGTTTTTTGGAAAAGGTCAGATGGGTCTTTGTGTTCTCATTGCTAAGCAACGGTATTGGAGGCCATTAGGGTCCAGCCTCTGTCTAGCTGTTGAACAGTGATTTTAACCCAGGTCAGTGAGGCCTATGAGGTTTTAACATTGTTCTGGGTTTTTTTGTGAACACCTCAATATTGATGATTTCCTGGTTCCCCACTGTTCCATGTTTTCTCCACTGTGGATAATGGATGATCTCTGTGGACAGTGGTTCACTGGAGCCTTAGAAATGACTGTAACTCTCTCCGGACTGATAGTTGACTTTGTTTCTGATTTGTTTTGTTTTTCTTGAGTGATTCCACTTCATGTTGTCAAATTGCTTTTTTTCTAACCTGGAGCCTGGAGGTAGCTTGTGAAACTGGACTCAGCTTTCCAAATAATAAGTGGTTGTTCACAGTTAATTCATAGTTCAACAAGAACAGAAATTACTTTACTTTACAGAGCTTGAAAAGTTTTTCACCTTCACTGCAAAAACACAAAATCCTACCAAGTAATTTTGGTTTAGTTTCATCTGCAAATTTCTTAGTATACTTGAAATATGACAAAACTAACTTCCAAGTAACTTTTCAGCAAGATGTAGGTGTGTTTTTAAAGTCAATAATTGGTTCATGTATCTTGCTGAAAAGTTACTTGTAGGTTGGTTTTGATTTATTTCAAGTCTCTTAAGAAATTTGCACTAGAAACAAAACCAAAAATAAGATTGTGTTTTTGCAGTGCTTACCTCATCTTTGTCTGACAGTAAAGTTATGTTGACAGAAAAAAAAAAAAAAAAATCCAAAAAGAAGAAATGTGTGTTTTTCCGTTGTTACTCCTGCCTTTTACTTTATAATTCCAACAGCATAAAACATGGCAGAAGGAACACAATATGTTACGGAAAGGTTTTGTGTTTATTGAGAGGGCCCAGTGCTTTATAGTGCAGGCTGGTGAAGCCTGCATATCCCAGAGATAGAGTTACTGTGAAAGCCATGACCGAGTGTAAACTAATCCTGCCTCACCCAACTGCCAGGGATATTCCACAATCCAGCGCATGTCTCAAGGCATTTCCTCTCCATGTCCATCTGCTGGCCTACAGATCCTCTGATCATGCTTACTATAGGCTTTAAATCTCATACAAATCTCTCCAGGTGAATTATGAAAAAAAAAAAAAATCATTCTTATGTACAGTTTTTTGTTTTTAAGTAGATGTAGGTACAATGCCAAGATAATTCAAGGGTAAATTAAAGCCCAAAGGATGAAAACAGTCCATTGGTTTTCATAGCTGTGTCTCCATTACAAATGTCCTCACAACTTTGTTGATGTTCTGCTAACGTCGCAAAGACACAATTTTGCAATTGCAGTGTTTCCATTAAACAAGAAACGCAAAAAAAACAAACAAAAAAAAAACACATAAATAAGTTTGTTCACGCGATAAGTCATTAAAAACATACCACACCATCATCGTCCTCCTGTCATCTTCTTGTCAGCAGTATCATCTGGCTGCTGATCATGTGACTTGTGTGATGCAAAAAAGTGTTTTCCTCTGCAGGTTGGCGAAATACCTGCAAACCACCTGACCCTAGCACAAAAACCTATCAAAAAACCTGAGTGTTGTTTTTTTTTCAAAATTGTCATGTTTCGATTAAGCAAATTTATTTTTGTAATTGTAATTTACATAATTTTATGGTAATGACCTGAGAGTCACTTTGAATACATGGTTTTATCGCCATTCTCCTGCAGAGTTGCTGCTAAGCATGTCTTTATTGTCTCGTCTTGCTGGATCTTACTTGGACCAAACTGCAGCTGTCGGACAGATGGCCTAAAATGTAACCAAAGTATTCTTTGATCAGAATTCATGCAGAAGCAACAGAGGCACAAAACTCAGCAAGGATGTCCTGGATTCAAATCTCTTATCAGGACCATTAAATGTGAACTTTGTTCTCCCTCTGCATGCATGGATGCTTTCTGCTCTCTGATTTTTGTTCCACAATCTGAATCTGCTGGGAGAAAATACATTCCATGTAAAGATGAAATGTGATCATGAACGGTTGAATCTTAAACATGCCGTCGTGTTGACTCTGGAACAGTCATGAACGTTCCTACTGGCCTATCAGTGGCCAGGAGGTCAGAACAGAACAACACCTAAACCTTAGTTAATGTTAGT